TGGAGGTGGATCAAGTTGGGCAGATCTCGAAAGGAAAGCAGAAAGGCAAGCGCAAAGGCAAGGACATGAAAGGTGGTGGCTGGTTTCCCTACGGCTATGGTGGAAAGCAAGGAGGAAAGACTTCCAAAGGAAAAGGGAAGAAAGGCAAGGGCAAGAAAGGTAAGAAAGGAAAGAGTAAGTATGGTTGCAATGGCACAGGAAAAGGTGGCGGTCAGGATAGAAACACTTGCAGGATTTGCGGCCAACAAGGACATTGGGGCAATGAGTTGAGTGTCCGAACAAAGGCCGTGCTCAAACCGTCGCAAACCAAGCCCAACCTGCCAACAGCACTGGCTGAGAGTGACATCGCCAGCTCTGCAGGAGGAAAGGCTAGAGTCAGTGGAGCTTCATCGACGGCGTCGACATCAGCCTATAGTGGAAGACCTCAAGTTCATCAGGTGAGACTTTATCATGTTGCCACCCCAAAGAGTGAAGCAAACGCTCCAGTGCTCTTTGACTTGAAGAGTGAGGGAGGAGACAGTTGGATCTACGACGATAACTACCAGATCAACACTGTCTACTTCGTCGTAGGTGATGAGTCTGACCTTGACGAGGTTGAGATGACCATGGAAAAGACCACAAGATGGTACACTGATGCCAAGGTGAGGAAGTACCCTATGGAGGAGAAAGAGATGAAGAAAGATTGAGTTTTTCAGGTTTGCGCTGTCAGTGAGGCCAACGTGAGAACTCTCATTGAGCTTGCTTCCTCAAGCAATGGCAAGCTGTGGCAGCCTAGCGCTTCAGGCAAGGCCATTCTTGAAGACGCACAAGGAGGACGCCTCATGACCTATGGCAAGAAGTTGGCACAAATCGAATGTGAAGGCGAAGAGGAGACAGTGATCATCGAGGACGATTGTGTGGTTGCTTCGGTGCAGTGCCCACTGATAAGTCTGCGTACTACTTCAACGTGGATTGAAACTAGCCCCAGGATCTGGAGAAGCCAGTCACTTCAAGCGCAACTCATTGGCGCTCTATGGGACCATCAGCAGGGTGCCAAGAACCTGGTGAGGTCCATGGAGGAGAAGGTACAAAGACCCAAGATGATGATGAAGTCCTAGTGATTTGAGTGATCTTGAAGTTGAATGATGAGTTTTGGACACACTACGGACTCACAGCTTGCCCAACAACAAAGGATGGGAATCCCATGAGGTTTTGCTATGAGACCAAGAACTTCGTGGACGGGCAACTCGTGTGGAACTTGAACTGGTGGCCATTGAGATCAACCTTGATTAATTCGAAAGATGGATGACGCTTGGGAGTTGGTCGAACACTGCGCTCGCTACTACACCCATGAAGAGCCTGATGGTGAGATTTTGGAAACTCAAACGTTGACAATCCTGCACAGGAAGAAGGAACCTATTTCATTCTTTGGTACAATCATTGGTGAGCAAACAGCTACTGCAGGTGGAACCCAAGTGGAGTTCAGTGCAGAGCCAAGTGTTCCTTTTGAGTTGAGCCCAGAACAGGAGGTGTTGGCAGAGGAAGTAGAGCGACAAGATGCTGAAGGAGATCCATGGAGTGGCCCCATACCCATGTTTGAGAACAAAGACGCCTTAGTGATCAACAACTCCGAGTTGAGCGAGAGAAGTTCTCTACGTGCCCTGAGAGAAGCAGCAGAGTTTCTAGGTGTTGGTCGTGGTGGGTCCAAGAATTCTCTGTGGACGAGGATCAACCAAGAAATCCAGAAGATGGAAAACAAGGAGCTTTTCACAGCGGCCAACCGACTGTTTCGTGAACAACATCGACATCAAGGCCTTGTTCCCGTGCGCGCTCCTCGACAGCCGAGTACAGAAGAACGGGAATTGCGTGAACTGACACACATTCCATTTCAGCATGCAGTGGTGTGGCTTCTGTGTTTCCTGCAAGAGTCGTGTGGATCCTGAAAGAGTTCCTGACCAATCAGAAGAAGGCAGAAGATCCATTCTTGCAATCCAGCTAGATTATGCTTTTGGCAAATCCCGGTCAGATGAGGTCAACAAGAACATTGAGCTTGTCAAGGTGTGAATGCTGAAACACGGATGCTGTTGTGTGTGCCAGTCGAAGGTAAAGGGTCTGACCTTCGAAACCAGGCAGAACATGACATGTGGTGAGGTTCTCTCTCTCTCTCTCCCTCAACCCCTATGGAAATGTTGAGGTGATCGGTGACAGTGAAGCGACGATGAAGGCGCTCTTGACCTATGTGAAGACCTTGCGCCATAGCCTGGGACTGGAAACAACCATTACCTTCAGTATGAAGAAAGGTCAAACTAGTCGAGTTGAAAGAGCAATTCAAACTCGTGAGGAGACTTTCAGCCAAGAACTCGAGAAGAAGATGTTGGCCAAGCAGATGAAAGAAGTGAAGAAACAGATGATCCAAACTGTTGTTGAGGAGAAGAGCAATTGGGGATTGAAGATTCCAACGAATGTCGTAAGAGCAGTGACCTTGCTTTTGCTTCAACATGGAGCTCGAGGAGAACCAATTGAAGAGGTGGCAGATGAGAAGGTACCAACGGAGCCCTACACTTGGTGGTTTGTCATCAAGGCACTGAGTGTCTACACGATCTTTGTGTTCCTCTGTGGCATGTATGTGGGCTATAGGTATCGAGTGAAGCTTTCGGTCTACCTCAGAACATTTCTCCGGTTCCTGAGACAAGAAGAGACCATGGAGTTTCAAAGACAAGATGAGTTTGCAGAAGTTGGCGTGATCGTGAGAGCAAGACGTGCAGCAAACCGCGGAGAGTGGAACCTTGTGAGACGCGGTAGAAACCTGCTCTCCAGTGAGAAGAAGGCCTACAAGAGAGAGAGAGAGAACAAGAAGTACGTGGACGAGAGGTGGAGCGTGCGCCGCAAGTGGAGGATCATGCAGAACCAGAACAGCAGGAGGCAGATGAAAGTGAACCAGATGAGGAGATGGAAGATGATGAGGGTGAGACTGAGATGCAACGACGAACAGCACACCACATCATCACCGACTGGGCACTTTGGCAGACTACAGAGTGCTCGAGAGCGAAGAAGATGCCTTTAGTGGCGAGGAATACTTCATGGGCAACCCGGGCAGTGGATACCACAGGTACTACAAGCCAACGGCCTCAGGGCGTGATGACCCAAGCTTTGAGAATGATGCTGCGCCGCCGACCTACATGGATATGGACAACCCACCACTTCCTGAAGGGTACAATGAGGCAGGAGAGAAACCCAACAACAGGTCTGTGCTGGAACCTCCTTGATGCGGACTGGTGGGACTTTGAGAACCTCTTCAAGTACATGAAGAGTGAGGAAGAGCAGCGAGCTCGCCGAGTGCTCCAAGCCAGCTGAAGGAGTTTGTGAGGACGAGGCTGGCTTCGACCTACAGCCGTTCCTACCCCCACGGCGTTCGACCACATTGTCCATTGGGGGATGGACGATCGCCATGACTATGGCGCCTTTTGCAAGATCGTCTTGATGGGTGAATGGGATGATGACTTTGACCGATACGTTCGGTTGTACCTCGACAAAAATGGATGAACTTGCGGCTACAGAACGCAACAAGTCCAAGGTGGAGTGTTGGACATTTTCACTGTTCACGAACGCCCGACAGTGGCCCGAACCTGCGCGCGGTCGCGTTTTCTTTCAGGTTCACAAATTGCTGCGCGTGCTACGAAATCTGCACTTCTAGCTTCGCAAAACGTTGCGCCTGCCACGAAAGCTGCGCATCGAAGTAAAACGGCCCGCTTGGGCCCAGTGGTTTCTGCGAGCTTGCGCGGTCGAATTTCACTTTGAAGATCTTGAGAGGCATGAATGCAGCGTAAACTCTTCTCAAGATGTAACTCGCTTTCTCATCAAATTCTGCTGAAGTGGGCAAACATCAACGCATCGAAGGGAAGGTGCGGAAAATAGCAAAAACATTGTGAGGTTGAGCAAGCACCCAGTTGTCTTGAAGTAGGATGGAACACTGGCAGTTTGCATGCCCCAAGCAAGACCTCGACATGAACACATCCCACTTCAGTTTCGTCGAAGGGTTTACTATATTTTGCCAAGTTCCAACTTGGCAATTCTGATTGTTGATAAGACATAACGAACTTCGGAACCACTCTCACAATCCTTGACATCTCAGGTTCGAATTCCTCATTTTTGCTCGCCGGATTCCAGCTAGCATAATGTAGCAATGTAGAAAATATGGCAATACTTAGCAACCTTCTCAATTAATCTGTTTTGACATGCCCAATCTGCACGATGGTTGTACAGTAATATTGCTATTGTGCTCACCACTTTGGAATCCTACTTTGCGAGACTTAGCAAACAACATTCTAATTTGTAAACCGACAGATCAACAATAACAACGGGGAGACAGGTCGTAACCACAGGCTGACGGATGGTTTCACTCTGTTTCCGCTAATCCAGCGGTCCTCAGCAGGGCATGTCTGCTGCTCATTATCCAATGAATGGTGTCTCTCCTTTTGTCCTCTTCTTTCGTTTTCTTTTTCCTCATTTCTTTTCTCTTCACTGATTGTGTTCAATTGCAGGTTGCTAAATTGATTGCTAATCAATCTGATTGCAAAAATTCAGAAAAGTCGCTACCCAAGGCAAATCTAGGTTGCTAATCCAAATCCAAATACTAAGTTACTAGGTTTGTACAAAAATACTTATCCGATGTCACCAGTTCCCAGGGCTATGACCCTTCCCTGTAGTCGAGACACGTACCGTAGTTCTGTTTAGTTTTTGACCGTTAGATTTGGGGATGACATGAAATGGCTGAGGTTTTGCTGTCCGTGTTGTTTGCAGGGCTTGCTCGAAATTGCGATGTGAGGGCCGCTTAGACACGAATTGCATTCTTGGAAATTACTTCTTTCTTGTCAACAACGGATTGGAGTAACAACGTCCAAGAGCTAAACCGCTTGGCCTCAGTAAGGGGGCCTCTTTTCAGGGCAACATTTTCAGGACCCAAATCCTTTTGGACAAGCTTGCTAAAGCATAGCTATTTCATGAGAACACAGTTTCTCCAGGAGACAGTGCCAGGATATGTGACTGCCTTGTCCTGCGTTGATGATGCACCGGTGTTGGGCTCAGTGCAGTATGGTATCGAATTTCAACGTGGACTGCATGGGGCCTGAATGGCAGGTGCTCATTGTCGACGAGATGGCATCGTTAGCAATTCCTACCCTGCACCAGCTGCTCTCATCTCGGGCTCCCTTGGTGTTGTTGCTCGGCACTTTATCAGGGGCAGAAGGCACTGGCGCAGCTGTACAGGAAAAGGTCTTCAAAGAGCTCGGGGCTGATTCTGCAGAGGCCTGTCACCATGCCACTTTGCCACCGGGAGTTTCAAAACGACAGTTCGTGAAGCTTTCCCTCCAAGAAGCAGTTCGGTACAAACCTGGGGATCCTGTGGAGAGCTGGTTGGATTCTTTGCTTTTCCTTGACATGCCTTCGCCTCCCACAGATCCCAAAGCTTACGGCACTGTGGGAGCGGCGCGCCTCATGGAAATAGACACAGGCTCCAGCAATCCACTTCTGGCTTCTGTAATGGGCCTGTTGCGGGGCCATTACAGAACTTCACCAAATGACCTGGCACGCCTTGTCAGCGATGCTCATATTAGGACCTTTGCTTTGGTGGCCAATGGTGGTCAAGGACCCCCTGCTGTAGCCGTGGTTGCCATTGAAGAGACGCCTGAGCGGCTTGGGAAAGGCACTGCCAAGGTCCACCAGACTCACTTGCTGGCACATGGCGCCTTGCAGATCTATTGAAACATAGTCTTTTCAAGGGAAAAAAGTCTTGTCTGACTTTGCGGTACAGGCATGTGTGGGAGCTGGACTGTTTGTTTATCAATTTTTAGTGCAGGAGCTGACTGGTCAAAGCCTTTTGATCTCGCAATCCTCAGTGATCAAATGACTTCTATTTTGACTTGTTCAGATTCAGGGTCTTGTTGCTCCAGCTTTTCATTGCGGTTACACTGTAGCACATCAGATACTGATTGAGCTGGTTTAGTGTCATAGAAGGCGTTGCTTATGTAGCCAGACTGCTCTGAGGTGTAGAAAAGGAGTATCGCCATTTAGCTCTCGCACGGCTTTCGGGCCTGCGACCGTGGCGTGTAGTAGCAGCACCTGCACTTCGTGGAAGAGGATTTGGGCAGAAGGCTTTGGAGCTGTTGGAGGCACATGCCAGGCACCATGTCTCTTGAAGACAATTTTTGTAAAGTTTTGAAACATCTGTTGTGACTACGCCCTGAAGTCGGTCTTTTGGCCACATTGTTTACCCAGGGATGCCTTTACAACAGGGTGTTCAGCGGCAAGATTTGACTGGCTAGGGGTTTCCTTCGGCCTCACTGCGCAGCTTTTCCGCTTCTGGTCTCGTGCGGGCTACCGTCCGGTCGTCATGTCAAACACACCAAATGACCAGACGGGTGAGATGTCTATCAAGATGCTTCTTCCGATCAGTGCAGCTTTGCAACGGGCATTGCCAGCGATTATGCCACTGTTTGGCACGTCCTTCTACCGAAGGCTGCCAACTTGCTTCCGTCCTTCAGCGCACTTAGTCAACGCTTTTGCAGCTTTGCATTTGTTTGAGTTCTGTGCCTCGAAACAAAACGACACTTTGGGCATCACTTCTCAACAGGTCATTTGGATCCAATGCTGGTGGTGGAGATCTTGGCGCTGTGCCCAGCGGCAAATTCAGGCACCTGGCAAGCCTCATCTTTGGAAGCTTCCAAATTGGTACCCCGGAGATGAGATTCTTACAGCGACAGACTGGGCACCCAAACGTATTAACATACATACCTTTGTCATTAGCACATCGTTCGACCCGGCCCTTGGCCTTTCAGAATTTACATTGCAGCATTCTTGTTTACGTTTCATTCTTTCAATTAGGTTGCAACATGTGCGGTTTGATTTTAAACAACGCAGCCACTTGCAGCCACTCGAGCGGCCGCAAGTGACTGCAAGTGACCGAACAAGTGGCTGCTGGAGCAAGTGCTGACTCTATTTAGCTTGCCCTTTTAGTTTTGATTCTTTTCTTCGTTCCATTTATATACAATATAATATAATATAATAAACATATATATATATATATTATATATGTTTCTTTGCTTGTTCTATGTTGGCTGCCTTGCTGGCAGAAGCTCAAAACGTACATGTTTGCTTATGTATATAAGTTTGAATGATGCCTGAAGTTAGCGTACAACAGGCTTCATTGGATGCCAACATGTCTTCCTTAGATGCTTAGCCCCTGGGCCGAGGAAAAGTTGGCAACAGCCCGCAAGCCAGTTGAAGAAGTTGCACGAAATTACGTCGCTTGGACAAACAGTCTCTGTGACTGAAATCCAGGAATATGGTGTATTGTCATATCGCATTCCCTTGCTTGCAGTGCATCCGGAGCTATACCTTGGCTCAAGTCTTTTTGTGTCTCCTCGTGGACGTCTCCAAAAGTCAATTCCCAATGCGAACGCCATCGCCGAGGCGCAGAACGCCGCCAATGTCAGCTTTGACACCAAGGACCTCACCTGGCTTGCTGGACCGCATCTATGAGCGGAAGCGGGCAGCACTTGTGGATTTGAATGGAGCTGCAGAAGCACCTCCACGCAGGCGAATGCGCCGAGGTGATCCACAGGAATTGCCAGAAGAAAAAGTTACGGTTCAACGATTCACTTTGGTAAGTAGAGGTGCACCGCCCGCAAAGCGCTTGCCTGCTCAACATGAATTGCTTCGAGTACCACCCCGAGCATCAGCATATTTGGGAGAAGAAGTTCATGTTTGCCGTTGCTCTGAGTGTGACAAGCATGGTGTTCGCCGACGTCTCAGCGGTCGGCGCACTTGCCGGAGGGATACAGAGTCACACCCCGAATATGCGCTGTTGCTGAATTTGACAGACCGCTTTGAGACTGAATGCAACAGAGAAAATGCTGAACTGGTCAATGAAGCATGCTGTCGCGAGAAAAGTGCATTCTTCATCCTGGGCCCAGGATCGACTACAGTTGGTTATGTTGCTGCGGAAGTGGCCGCCAATCGCAGAATTCGACGAGGGCAAGACTCAGCAATCTTGGATGGTGGCGAGGATGACAAGACTCCTTTCGTGACGCAAGTCTATGTAGAGCCAGAATTTCGCCGGCAGGGGTACGCCAGCCAGGCCTTGTTCTTGCTATTGAGAGATCATGGCGAAGTCAGGGTAGATGCTCCATCTGATGTGATTTGTGACATCTTGAGGAGTCAAGGCTTTATTTGTGCCGGCAGTAGGGAAGGACCAAGTGGACGATCCATCGTTGAGTTTGCTCGTGAGGGTATCCAGGTGTAGATGCGGCAAGCACTGTCATGTAGGGAATGAACATTTGGCACGTTTGATAACGTATGACCTATGAACATGCAGGTAGACTGTAGACTTGGGTAGGACTTCTTCGTTGCCAACGCAAATCTCTGATTTCGTTTGGTTGGACAGTCATTGTCTGGCATTGAAGCGGAGTTTGATCAGAGCTTTCAGGCAACGCTATTCAGAAGGCTTTGGGCACTGCATTGAGCGGAGACCCGTCTAGTACAGATGCATGCAATGTAATTTGTGGCTGGCTGCCAGAATCTTGAATGCACTAGATCCGGCAGTTAGCACGCCTGCCAACGGCCTGTCAATGCTCCTGACTAGCGGTTCAGCATCATGGCGACAAAGAAGACCTGGCCGCCTTGTTCGCTTGTCGCTGAGTCGTTAAAGCAGCTGATGAAGCAGTTGAAGCAAATTCGCGGCACGAAGTGTGCATTGGAAAGATATTTCACATGTTTAAAGCCAAGGATGTGTTTGCTTGCTTGGCCTCAGCATATTTCTTTGGATGCCTGGCTGGCTTGCGCTTTTCAAAGACAGAAGAAGCTGCCTTGTGTGTGAAGCACTTAGTGACGTTTTTGGAACTTGTGAACTGTCCCATTAGTAAGCACGGCCAGGCTTATCATAGCGTTCATGAACATACACTGTACACGGTCCGATTTTTGGCACACGTGTTTTTTCCTCAATTTTGTACAATCACTATGCATGAAAATCAATTTAGGGAAGTCATGGGGTTGAAAAACGAATACTGACATGCGTAATTTCTGGAAATATGTTGAGACACTCTTTCCATGGGATGATACACACATCGAAGTTAAACTTGCGTCCCGTGATTTAGGATGCATGCTGCAATACAGTAAGCGAATAGTGTTGGGATGCCTTAAGACCCGGATTCAATCAGCTAAACGCCGGCTGTTTCGTCTCCAGAAGCTTGACCTTACTATCCCAGACAAAGCAGGCAATTTTCAGTCCGCTGTATGGCCACTAGCCTTTTATGGGGCAGAAAGCCAGGTCATTGGCGATTCTCATTTTGTTACCCTTCGAAGGCTCGCTGCAGATGCCTTAATTGGAAAACATAAGTTTGCATCATCATACATTGCTCTCCACTATCTGTCAGACCGAGTTATGGACCCGTTATTGTATGTGGTTGTGACGGGCCTACGCTCCATTCGTAAACTCTTCTATTATCATCCCACCCTCGCTAACTCCATGTGGTCTGAGATAGTGTCTAGTACATCAACACAAGGACCATGTGGGGCCCTGACCAGGTACTTGCAACAATTGCATTGGATTCCTCTTCAGGGAGGCTACATCGACATGCCGAGTGGCCATCAACTATGCTTACTAAACCAATCCACTAAAGAAATTCGACTCATTTGGCGTCATGCTTGATCCACATTTGTTTTTTCCCAAATCAGTCACCGCAAAGTGGTCACGTCATGCCTTTTTGATGCTTATACACAAATGACAGTCAATAAAAAGTTGTCCGACCGTGAACTCAAGCTTTTGTGTCTTAATGTGACAGGAGGCTTCCAGACGTCTGCCGTTAAAGCAATATGGGACAACACCCAATCAGAAAACTTTCACTTTTGTGGCCGGGTTGATTCCCATTCTCACCGAATGTTATTTTGTCCAGACTTCGGACATATTTGATCATCCCACGTCAACGCAATAGGACATCTTCAACAACATCCTCACTTGATGTGGTTCCCACTTGCCACGGTCCACCCTCAAGAGGTGGCTTACCAGAGACTGAAACTTACTCGGACGGGACCCTTCCTTGAACCCAAGTATGACGCATCAATGCATAGACATGTTCTGTTTACCGATGGCACCTGCGACCGACCAAAATCGCAAAATTGTTGCAGGGCAGCGTGGGCAGTATTTCGTCAGGTGACATTGAGTCCTCCTGACCCATCCCTCCAAGATTTCGAGGTTTTCCAAACATCACATGTAAAAGGCATTCAGTCCATCAACAGAGGTGAACTTGAGGCGGTGGCTTGGGTCTCTGATTTTTATTCACAACAGATACCTCGTCCTTTCGTTGACTTGCACACAGATTCCCAATTTGCCGTTCTCACAGACCTCTTCAATCCGCGGATAGTCCAGATGACCTTTATTCCATCTTGGGAAACATGCTAGCAGATGAAACAGCCAATGTAACGAATCGAATCGGCAAGACCTCGAGGCCATGCAAACCATTACGACTCATATTGAGCAACATAGCACGGCCCAGCAGGAAGCTTTGATTCAAATCTACCGCTACGTGGTAGACCTTAACGCTTTGCATTCCAAAATAATTACGCCTCGAAAAGGATAAACCTGTTGATGGGGATGCTGAAGGAAAGGATGTAGATGAAAGCTCCCTTTATAAAGATACACTCGTAAAATGGGTTGTTCTGGGACCGACTTGGGCTATGTCGGGCAGCCTCCTTCCAGTTGTAGCACATGCGTGCCCTGCCAGATATGTGTGTGCTATGGCAGTATGGAATTTCTTCTCTCAGCTCACATGGCGGAACCCAGACCTTCCACTAGATAAGAATGATTTTGGAATCACGTGGTGTGAGCTGGCCTTGCATTGTTCGATTTATGCAGGTCGGTGTCTCTCCGTGTGGATCCATGATTCTGATAAAGGCTACGCGGTCCCGTATGATTTCTTCTCCGATCCAGTCTTGTTACAAAAACCTGAGTTTCGTAGCCTCGCTCACCAAACTTCCGCTTTCCGGGCAGTCGTTCGATATTTAGAAAATAGAGGCAAAACTCAACTCTATCCGCAGTGTAAAAAGACAGGGGCGAGCTCACTAGTCCAATTAGGTCTCCATGGATGTCTCATTGGTGGTCTCGCAGCACGTCCAAATTTGCCTCAAAATGAACTTGCGTACACACTGCTTAATGATTATGCCTCTCTCGCGGGCCAGCCATACCCATTAAATGTACGGGTGCCATTTCAACCAAAATTGGACCATGCCTTGATTACTCCGATTGCCATTTGCTACAAGACATAATCTACATCAGCGTGTAAAGAAACGCATTCGTTTGAAGCAAGATCTGGCCTCGCTCTCTTGGAACACATAAATTAGATGCAATTGGGCCGTTACGTTACGTTCGCATTAATTCGTGGATGACATGGACTGTGTATTACACCAGTCACTTGTGGTTACATTCACGCGTGCACGTTTTGTACATCTTCGACTGTGTGTAAATAACTACCCTAGAGTACCCCACAAAGTGGAAGGGCTGTTAGGGGCGTGACATGGACGAGTCCGCAAGTTGGTGTGTGGCACACGTTCTTTATTCCCCAAACAGTTTTCTGTTGGGGTTCTATCTTAGAAAGAAACGAGCTGGCCACACTCACTGGCCGCGCCCCTGAACTCTGTGGCTGGGCTCTGTGTCCAGGCCTGTCCTCCTCTTGTCCTCGTCTTGGCCGCGCCCCTGAACTCTGTCAACTTTGTGGCTGGGCTCTGTGGCTGGGCTCTGTGTCCAGGCCTTGTCCTCCTCTTGTCCTCCTCTTGGCCACGCCCCTGAACTCTGTCAACTTTGTGGCTGGGCTCTGTGGCTGGGCTCTGTGTCCAGGCCTTGTCCTCCTCTTGTCCTCCTCTTGGCCGCGCCGGGCTCTGTGCCGCTCTGTGTCCAGGCCTTGCCCTCTTGTCCTTCTCTTGGCCGCGCCC